ATATTCACTATTCTAGACCAATATTCTTCTTTTGAGATCCCATTACCATTGTCATATGCCTCATCACATTTCTGAAAGCATTCTTCTGGACAGACAAGATATAAGGAATCTGTATCCCTATATTTTACACTGAACCTTTTACTTCTGACAAGATTGACAATAAGCTTGATATTTTGCTGACCAGCTGATGTTACCCGCTTGCTAATGCTCGCAAGAAGAAAGGGAACCCGCTATTTTCAGCTTCACTGTAAAACGTATTCATATACACTTTTAAAGCGAGTGATTTTGTGTCTAGATAGGTGTCAATAAAGGAAACTGAAGAATATTTAGATTTTAAAGCATCTGTAATATTCTCGCCTCTTATTTCTGCCAAACTAATTTCCTTTTCTAATTCTTCTTTTCTATCATTTAATGGAGCAAGACATCTTTTTAGAGAATTTCGTTTAATAAGAAACTCCTTTAATACTTTTGGATAAAGGCCTTTCATTTCAGCTTGGTTTTCATGCTCTATAGACCATGCAAGAACATCCCGACTATTGTATTTGAAATTAATTTCATGAAGCCTTTTACCGCTTTCCTTTAGAGATTCAGCACGCTCTCGAGATAAAATGATTTTATCAGGTGAGAGATTATATGTCATGATAAGGCTTGGATATAATGATGCAAAGTCTAAGCTAATTACAGGTCGTCTATTTTTGAGATCCTTTACCAGTGGGAAAACATAGGCTCCAGGGTATTTTCCTGTTTCTGTTTATTCACATAGAATTGTACTGGTTAAAATTCCTTCCTGCCACGCACTGGCACTTAAAAGATTACGCACTTTTATTCCTATTGCAAAATAATGTGTATTGAATAATAATATAAATGCTATACTTGCAACTTCCCTATATTCATTGATTACATTATGCTTGACCATTAACTGCTGACAGCTAAGAGTATTGATAATGCAGTATTTGGCTACTTCACGCATCTGCTCAGCCATTGTGGCATTGGTTTCTTTTAATGCCTTTTCATAATATTTGTTTATGCGATGAATAGATAAATCCACTTTGTTGTCAAGATTACACTCCCTTAAGTAATATGCGAGACTACTTTTTTTGGCTTTAGGGTAGAATTTCTTAAAACAGGGTCAGATATCAATAGCCACGCATCCAGGAATTTTAAGATGTCTTGAATAGAAGTTCCCATCATTTACTTTTATCATATTATATTGATATTGCCATTTTGTAATCTTTTTGAGGCTCATAGGTTTTAGTGACATATGATTAAATATCCATTCGAGAACACCTAACTTTTTCACCTTCTTCACAATAAATGGTCAGTCATATTGTGAATCATTAAAACCTATATGTATATCTGGAGCTAAACATTTCAAACATAATGCAAATGCTTTCAGTAAATTAGTTTGGTTCTCACATATAACTGTGATCAAGCGTGGATCTGGCGCAGTTTCAACATCAATAAGACAGATTTGTTTTAACGGTTCAGGATCATCTTTCCAATGAACAGTTATATAAATTATGAACACAACGTCTTCTTCGTATTTTGCATTAGACACCTCACCTGTTTTTCGTGAGCTATATGTCTTGATATCCCACGTGAGAACAAGAGTTCGATTCTGTGAAGCGCTGAGAAAAATAATGAATTATTATACTCGTTATCGCTTATTGGGTTGTAATTATTCACAGATACTCGGAAGAGATTAGTACCTTCCTGAATGTGTTCGTATAAATAATTACTCAATATAGCCTAGTTTGAAAGAGGTAATCTCTCTTCACAGGCTACTTTGCGATAATAGTACTGGCAGTTTAAATTATCTGAGGCTGTACACATTCCAACAGCACGAATTGCTTTTAATGCATTGTTCTGGTCATAGTAATTCCATGTTCTCACACAGATATATGGTTTCTTTTCCGTATGGTATCCTTGAAGTGGGAAAGCGTTAATAGTCTCGATCCCAAACTTTGATGTGCTATTGAGAATATTAGATAGTATCCTTACTAATTTGGTCTTAAACATAGGTAATGGCATCTTTTCAGGCACTTTGATATCAAAGAATGGTCAGATGCCTGTAATATTTACGACTGCCTTTTGTCTATTAATCAATTCACCAGTAATACGCAAAATATAGATGGAGAGCCCATTTACATATTTGGTATCATCACTAACTTCAGTAGGCATGAAATGGATGGGTTGAATTCTGCTACAATATCATTATGTGATAGAATACCAACTAAAGACTCAGCACCATCGTAGTGGGCGAGCGTTAGGCCAGATCCAGTGTGATCAGTTTGATCAAAAATAGTTGAGGTATATATAGCATCAGTAGGTAAAACTTTATATATTCCAATATATTTCCGAAATGTTTAATTAATTTTTTTTGATGAATACTCTCCTTTGATACTATGCATCTACAGGAAATGAGTATATACACATTTTTTTCTCATATATTTGACTTTTAATCAAAATTTTGCAGGAGAAAAGCTTACCCTGATTCTAAAGAAAATTGTTAGACTATTTTCTGCAGAAGCTATAGCAAACTTAGTCAGCAAAATATAAAAGAAAGACAACTGTATATATATCTAAAAGTGTAGCCTTTTGCAGAATTATATTATATAAAATGGCAGAAGGCTACACTTTTCTAGTATGTATCTAGGCATGGTATAGGTATGGATAAGGATAGGTAAGTGCGTAATCTATTATATAAATATTAGCACTTACCTACTCTATCACTAGTATGTAATCAAATGTGGCATAAAGGCTTCTGCAGAATTATATTATATAAAAATGGCAGAAGCCTTCATCTAATCTTGGTCAACAAATCGTGAAAGAAAGACAAGTAGATATGTATCTGAAAGTGTAACCTTCTTCGTAATCTATATATAAAAAATTGGAAGAAGGCTTCATCTTTCTAGATATGTGTTCGGTTATAGTATAGCCTCCGCATAAGATTTATTCGCTTAATGTTGGCCAACACTATTTTATAATTTCGGCTAGAACTATGAGCATAATAACTCAGCATCCAAGTTGGCATATAGGTGAACTAAAACTGGTGAACTAATAGAACCACTCTAGCTCCCTGCCAGTTCTATAACAGTTTCTCAACAGTTCTATAACAGTTCTAGTATACTATCAAGTCACCATCATAACGCTAAGCTGAATCCTCAAATCATGTACTCTAAAGATCAGCCAGAATTATGGCATAATGTCAGCTGAAATTAATCACAAATCCACTGCGTCACTGTCACCTCTTTTTTTACACCATTTCAGTATTTTAAAGGGCAACCAAATAGGCGCGTAAAAGAAGCATCCTCAATATCTTAACAGACCACCAAACAGTCTCAGAAGCAGGTAAACAACTGGATAGCTCTTTAGGAATAAAAGGAATACAGAGTAATGTAAACACATAGATAGTTCCTTAATAAAAGAAAGGTCATAGATAAACGGGAAAATACACTCTATCAGATTATAGCAACACCGTTAGATTAAATAATAATCACACTAATAGATCATGACACCACTGACCTACCATAATACTATATAGCAGGAATTAAATAAAATAATAGTTAGAAAGCCATAAAGATAACCAAACTATAGGTTATGAAGCCACTTATAGATTATGTCACCACATTAGATTATAACATCAGGTTATAATACCACTACTAGATTGTGACATTAGATCTTACCATCACTATTAGATTATGTCACCACCATTAAATTATATAAAGACTATCATAACCATTAGATTATATCACCACCAATAGATTATGTCACCACCATTAGATTACATAACCTATCTTAACTCGCCAGAGGTTATTTGATATAATTATATCAAATAACCTCCGGTGAGTACTTGAATTAGTCGTGATAATCAACTTGTAAAAGCCTTAAGATTACTGTGCAATTAAAAAGAAATAATACTCTGACACCTCATCTAACAGTTGTAGTTCGCAAGAATTACACGTTAACAATAGTTTCAAAAGATATAATAATATCTATTAGTATCAAATACATAGAGAATTGGGAAATGCATCAATAGCATCTTATCCAGAAGAAAGAATTAAGCTTTATTAACTTCTAAGCTGATATACTCTTGATAAAATTTACAACATTGATGAATAGGTCTTTATTATTGGATGTTTCCAAATCAAACCCTTTCAACTAAACCAGTTCGTAATAAGAAAAAAGTCAAAACATAAATCATAATCTTTCTTGATACAAATGCAATAGAAAGTGATAAGCTCAAATTGTGGGTAATTGAAATGTAAAGTGTTCAAAACCTCTTTCAAAAATTAATATAAGAAGACTTCCAGTTTATTATTGTAGAAATTTGAAAGTATAGATAAACTTAACGATTTTTGAAGAAGTATTCTGTAAATTAGATAGTTACTTTAGAGCAAAAAATAAAAAAATTTTGCTCCTTATTAATAACACTCTGTTAAATTTTGATTTAAATTTGCCAAATGAGCAAGGTGAAGATAGTGCTAATGAAGAGACTGAATTCACATCAACTTTAGTAAGTTTTTATAAAGGAAAATGAGTTATTAGTTATAAAGTCTATTATTTATTAATTAGTCTTCAAATATAAAATTTATTATCAGATTATCAGAAAGTTAATTTTGCAAAGCCATTCAGTTTATAAATGTATTTAATTTATATTATTTAAATAAAAAACAATAAAAATAAAAATAAAAATAAAAAATAATAAGAAATAAAAAAAAAAATTAATAAATTAATAAAAAAATTAAATAAAAAAAATAAAAAATAAAAAAATTTGTTTATCATGATAAATATAATATAATCATTAAATATTTAACTTACTAGAATTTTTTTTTAATATAGAAGGTTAAGCTTCAAGAAACTATGATGATGAACCAAGCAGATCTAGAGGTCATAGTATAAGTCATAATAATGAACCAAGTAGAGGTTATAATAGCAGTCATAGTAGAGGCTGTGGTGATGAACTAAATAGAGGTTATAATAGCGGTTACAGTAAAGGTTGTGATGGTCTTAATATCTCTCAGCTTTAATTAAGGTGGCTCTTTTACCTCCTAATACTACAAGCTATCCTTAACCACTTAATGTCAGAATCATTGCAAGCTTTAAAAACCATTATAAGAGAAATTTTTACCATCATATGTTAAACTTATTTAAAGATGGAAAAAATATTCATAAAGAGAAAGAAAGCAATCAATTATTTAGTAGATGCATAAAAGTAAGTAACTGAAGAACTATTCATAATTGTTAGAAAAAAACTAAAGTTCTATCTTCTTTAACAGATGAAGATATAGGTAATGCAACGCAAATCTAATAAAATTTAGTGAATTATGAAGAAGTTAAGATTAACCAAATAATAGAAGAAATTGAAAAACTTAATGATAATCCTTATAATATTTTATTAAAAAATGTATTGACCAATTATTTTCAGAAATTAGAAGAAGTTTCAACTGAAAATGATGATGATATTATATAAAAAGTTTTAAAGGAAATATATGAAGAAGATGATTATACATAAAATCGAAATGGATCATTTCAGATATCCGAAATGGTCGAAATGGTCGAAATCATTTCGACCATTGGAGGCTAAAGTCGCG